AGGCACAACTTGAATCGTGAATCGTAATTTTCATTATCTAAAAATCTCATTACGCAGTAAGTTTTGATTTTTTTCATCGGCTCGATAAGTATAACGCGGCACGTTACAATATCTGCTTCAAGTTAATCATCATAATTTGAGGGTTATCCTTGCAATATTTCGATCCGTTACTACTTGATTTCTTTTGGCAGATTATTAATTCCCAAGAGTTAAGATAGAAATATTTCGATTAGCTGCGTTCGGCACTCCGTCGAGTAGCATCATATTTTCTGTAAGTATGACCCAACAAATAAGTTCTGACAGACCCTACAATTTTTTGTCATATTGTGGCTAATATGTATAGTATATGCGAGCCCTCACTCAATCATTAAATGGTTTATGCTCTATCGTAGAATTTTTTTAGTATAACAACCTGATTGAAGTTTTTTACTTGTGGATTTGAAAGTGACATCTAGCGGTGAAAGTTGAACATATATACACAACATCGTGATGATTCATCGAAAACTCGTATAAGCTTTTATTGAAACACCTATTTCATATAATAACGTACCAAAATAGAAATATTCCATCTTGGAAACAAAAAGAGCCTTAACTGCAGGGAATCAGATCAGGGAATAAATCAGCGAGTCCTACCCAAAGCATTTCGCGTGATTGTGTCTCAAAAATTCATAAAAATTTTTTAATAAACATATGACTATGTACACTTTCATGGCAAAAGTATTCTTAAATTGATTTCAAACTTTTTCACTGGCTCTACAAGTAACCTTCACGACCCTCGAAAACATTCAATCAAAATCACGAAAATCTGCTTACGCAATAATATACTCATGCTTTTATGAAAAAAAACCTTACTTTAATATTAAAATGATAATTCTATATAGTTGACGATCATTTATTATTCGATCTCGTCGATAAAATCGCCAAACGGAGATGTTCAACTCGCTAACGTAATTTCGCAGCTCGCCAAAGCATCGCAGATTGACATTTCTAAATACGGCTTATAATTAATATATAGTCCAGCGCGGAGCGAGCGAGCCGCCGTCCATCAATCAGGCGCGCGGGAGGAAAAAAGCTACAGTCGCAAAATTATTCAGTTACTGGCAGTGACAGTGCGCGCAGAGGCACAGTTGGATAAAGCAGCGCAGTAACGATTACACAAATCAAAACACGATGGTGGCCCACTGTGCTGCTGCTGCTGCGTGTGTCAAAAACGTATACCCCGGGCGAATAGTAGTAGTAGTCGTCGTCGTCGTCGTTGCGCGCCGGGGAACGTCAGTCATACCGGGGGCTGCTGCACAGCGAAAAGCCGTTAATCAACGAATTAGCCAACATATACAGCCGAGTTCAATACGGCCCAGAAACGAGCTCGGCGATATTCCCTCGCGTAATTTGCACTGAATACTCAGCGACGCGTCCGACGCACGCCGCGTTCGTATTATATATGTATGCGCCTACATATACACTGAATATGAACTGTTGCTAATATATAGTGTCGTACAGGCGCTTCGCGAGGGGGGCGGTGTGCTTCACGAAAGAAAAGCTTCGTTTGCGCAGTGAAAAATACTTTACAAGGAACGAAACATTTATTCATATCGCAAAACGGTTTACCGGGGGCAAATTTCTCTTTCCTTTTTCCTGTTGTACTTTTTAATCTCGCTTACGAATATATATTTTTTTCATTCTTACACGACATTATTAATATCCTATAATTAATCTCGTCGAGCTTTATCTGCGAAAGCACCTAACGCGCGACACACTTCTTCATTTGGGCGTGCGTGTGTGTTCGAGCGCTGCTGTGCAAGCTGCGCTCGGTCACAGTACAGGCTTTCGCGCGCCGTGCTTTATAACCAGAGACGAGTTTAATTCTAGCATCAAACTTTTAATTGGCCGACTCGCCTTACAAATTACCGACAGATGGGTCATGCTCTAATGTATTTATACGTATACGCACTTTAACCTCATCCCTCATTTTAAAAAATCTCGCGCGTGGAAAAACTGCTCCGCTGGCGCCGTTTCATTTTTTTTTCCATCCAACATCCCACACACTGTGTTGCGTGTGTTATCTCGTACCTCAGCGCTGGAAAAGTTTACGGCACTTTCGAGCATGAAACAGCCTCGTATGCGTAGATTAAAAAACGCGTCTTTTTTTTAGATTGTCTTTGCGCATCTGCTGATTTATAACGAGTTAGCCGTTACATTATCCTGAAAATAATTTTTAAAGCAACAAGAAAAACTTTTTACTTTTTCGTTTCTTTTTTTTGATCTACAATTAATAATATGTTCGGATTAAAAAAATTCAAGTAAAAGCTTACTCATCATTAACATTCGATAAATATCAAATCTTGAATCATTAGCGAGGTACAACTTTTAGGAAACAGAAAATGATCATTTTTTTGTCACTGCTTTTGCTGGTTCTGGTAAGGACTAGTGTTTGCAATTAATACTTATTAAGTTTGAACATGTGCTAAGTGTTTTTCAATTAAAAAATTGGTAGAAATTAATCATTATTAATGAAGCAAATTGCGACGTGTCAGTCAAACAAAATAGCTTGTTTCGTGGTTTTGTGAGTAATATGGAAATAATACCAGCTTGCTTCGTTTTTCGAAAGTCATGCTTTTTAATTAGTGAATGAATGACCGTAATGGTAGTCGGTTAAAATTATTGAGCTTCATACTGCAAATTGCAAAGAAGCGCAAGGATTTGTGTTTTGTATTGTGCTCCAGTCAAATATGAAAATTAATGTGCCATGCAATATGAGGATTAATGGCTATTTAATCAAAATATTATGATTTTGTTATACACGCTAGAAGAGAACGATTGCGAGTAAATTTCATGAAGTTCTCTTTGTGCTTTAATCATAATACATTGTAAATTCAATTTTCATCATGTATGCTATTTTATGTCAATATGAAAAGACAAGCATGAACAAAAACATTTTATGTAGCGATATGTCTTTAGAATTATTTTTTTCCTTACAAATACAAATTATTTCAGAATAAATACTACTTATATAAAGGAATAAAATATAAACTGTCTAGCAATGATAACGAAAATTAGTTTCATATTATTTTAGTACAGTACCGAACGCATGATTTGATTGACATAAAACATTAGTTTTCTCGTGCTCGCGGGCAAATTCACGTAAATATTTGCATTTAAAGCTAAGATGGATGAATAATTAAGGAGTTCAGGTAACATTTTTCCTTGCAATTCTATAGCTCGTTCCCAGCTGCCCTCTCGTTCTTTTTTCTTCGAGGCAAGCTTCTACACTTGAGTTTTCACTGACGTTAGCTTCGCAAGAGCTTTCTTAGAGGCGAAATTCTCTTGGGTGCTTTCCTCGGCTTGCGTAAATCGTCGGCGTTGTCATCGGAATATTGCATGTCAAATATATACGGACGCGATACTTCTCTCACGCGGAAATCTCTCGTATCGCGTGAGCGTGGCTGGCAAGATATACGTTTTCGGATCTCGACTAGATGTAGCTCAAGATGTCATTTTATGCAAAAAATCTTTAACTGCTGCTTCTATACTTTTTCTTTTGTTGTAAGTTCAGTGTTTTCGAACACATTTATTTAAGCAATCGTGAGATATCGAAAATTAATTAGCTCGTAAAGCCATATCCCAAATGCCAAAAATCTTCCCATGGAGAATCATTGGTTCAATTTACTAGTCAGTTCAAGTACTTTTGCGCTTGGAGCTAACTACTGACAGTTTTCTCAGTACAGGTATAAAGACAGTATTCTCCGAGGTAGCCGTTCTTCCTTTGTCTTCAAATATTGATAGTTCAGGTTAACGAACCAGTTTATTTCTCGACTACCATCGACTACGATCGAAGAAAGGATTACACGTCAGTTAGTTTAAAAACAAGATCCTTGCAGTTAGTTTATAATTCAATGCACTACTTCTCCGCTACGAGTGATCTATTCTCTAAAAAAGTATTTACAAAAAAAGAGCTAAAAAATATTATTAATTGTAATGAAATAAGCGTCAAAACGACTAAATTAATTTTATTTAATTAATTATGTCTCGAGCAAAGCTACGTCGATGTAACGCATAAAACGTTCAAACTTAAGTCGCGCATAAATGTACATTTATACAATTTCAATGAACTTCATTACTCCTTTTGAATGCTCGCCGAGCTTACAAATTTACGTATAAAGGCTTTCAAATAAAACACGCATATATATAATAAAGTCATGTTGTTTCTCAACGATCGTTAAATTATAACGAAGATACTTATAAGCATAATTAAGTTTAACTTGTGGTTAAATTATATTTTCAAGGCATTGAAATAAAAACAAAATGCAAAAATAACTTCTTAATTACAAGCTTGAAGTTACTCGCTCTAGTTAGCAACGTACTGCGATCAGTGAATGTCTGGGAAAATGAATCTTTTGCAGAGCATGTTAACACATTTTTTGTAATTGATCATGTAATTGCAACGTATATTTTACTTAGTTTACAAAATAACGAGCGAAAAAATGATCGAAGTCAAATTACTCGTATAAGATGTTGCGGATTTGATGCCTTCTATGTCTGAAATTTATTGAATAAATAATTTTCCAGAAAATTATTGGCGATTTAAAAGTTATTTTAATGAATCTTTATTTTATTAAGGAAAATTGAAGTACAAAAAAATGAAAATCTGAGCAGATTCTTAAATTTATTTTTTAGACTCATTTATTTGAATAATAGATCATAAATAAATATTATATACAAAAGCCCATCACGAGCTTTGGTTTGAGGCCGCCAAGCAAATATGATATAAATCTTGATTCATTAACCCATCGATGATAATTTCACAAATTTCAAGCGGCAGTCGATGGTGTATCAACTCCCAGAAAGGATAGAGTGCCCACCCACGGAAAAATCTTCTTGCCATAATCTCGCACAAACGCCTAGCACAAGCGTCTCTAAATTTCAAGCAGTGGGAATATAAAAGTTTGGGAAAAAGCCAATCAAATCTGTCCGAGCGCGCGAAGTCATTGTATTCTGTATACGTGAGTAGTTTTTCCGCCTCTTCGGGTCGTAGCTGAATCAGGTCGTTGAGCGTCAGGCCCGGATCATTACCTCTCATTAACATATTGGCCGCAAGTTCCTCGAAAGTCTTTTTCGGTGGCGCCCAAAATTCCCAATCAATATTCCAACATTCGTCATAATTCGCCGGTTTCTCGAATAATTCATGCGTTTAGCGAACAACTTCATGATTTTTACGGCATCGCCTCGGTCCAGTTCGTATCCTTTATTTGCAAGACGTTCGCTGACGACCATGATACCGGATGCATTAGACCACGGTTCAGATCTAGAACAAAAGTCACTCTCGGTGGGAAAAACGAAGTTGGACAGATCGGCACCATGATCCAAGAGTACGTCGATCACATCCGGCAAGAGACTCGCTACGGCGTATCGAAGTGGTGTCCGTCGCTTCTCATCTTTGGCATCGACTTGCACTGGTTGATGTTTTTCTTTGCCTATCTTGAACAGCAACTTCATTAAATCGGGGACATCGATGTCCAACTTGCAAATCAAGTGCAGAGGAGTCAGTCCCTCCGCGTTAACCAAATTTGGATCGGCACCTCTTCTCAGCAGAAATTCAGCCGCATTATTGTTGCTGTTCTGCACAGCCAAGTGCAATGGTGTATTATCCCACTTGTCCCGAGCATCGATCTGCACCGGATAATTTTCTTCTTCACTGATCTGAAGTAACATCTCCGCCAACTGATAGGGCCATTCTACCTTGTAAATATTGTTGAGAGCTGTACGTCCCTCTGCATCGATCAAATTTGTTACCTTCACTATGAAAACTTTCATTGACTTCGGTGTTAGATGTAGCCATGATTTTGTGTACACTCACACTTAACAAAACAAAATCGCTTACAATAAACAAAATACTACTTTTTTTAACGAAAATCACACAATTCACCTGCTGCAGTCGATGCGATATTTCACTTCTCTATTCACTTTTCGGCTTCGTTACGTGTATACTTCAACTAGCATTGGCTACTAGTGGAGGCCCGCTACAGGCCGGTATTCATGACGCGCTTCTGCGCAGAAGAGCCATTTGTTCGATACTGCACTACATACGCTATTATACCTTGTTCAGAATATCAGTTGGTACGTATAAATTCTACATTATCAACGAACTCTGAAACCAAACATTTGTGGCCTCTTGGCGAGTTTACTTGACTACTTAGGTAGGCAATGGAGCCTCTTTAATAGATGTGGCCAATTCTCTGTGAAATTGAATGTCCCAAATTTTTTTTCAACTTGATGTTTCGTACGTTAAAAATGTCCTCAAAAATTGTAGATTTTTGGTGACCTCCTATCACCCGTTTTCAATAGCCCAAAGTTCGAATTTCTTCTTAAATTCGTGGTTATTGCTAATAGTAAAAAAGTCCTAGCTCACAAGGAGACCACATGAGATGCGGGTCACCGAATGTCCTGAAATTTTTTTTCTGGTCTCCTGATATCTAATAATAAAGCCCCCTATGCTTAGTTTGATCCAATGGGCCTTAGGGCCCATTTTAAAAATAATTTTCTAGTTTATTGAAAAATCTTTGTGATTTTCTAACTCGTGATAGGACATACTAAACGGAAAATTGCACAATGCGTGCAAGTCTTAGAATTAGTCAAAGAATACATTTGAATTTTTTTAGAATTTTCGAGACCTGCTATCACGTATTTTCAAAGGCCCAAATTTAACGCGTTTTTACTTTTTTCTTAAGAATTTCAGAGAGCTTTGAAAATAAGTGAGAGTAGGTTTCAAAAATTCTGAAAAAATTCAAATGTATTCTTTGACTAATTCTAAGACTTGTACATTGTGCAATTTTCCGTTTAATATGTCCTATCACGAGTTAGAAAATCACAACGATTTTTCAATTAACTAGAAAATGATTTTTAAAATGGGACCTAAGGCCCATTGGATCAAACTAAGCATAGAAGGCTTTATTATTAGATACCAGGAGACCAGAAAAAAAATTTCAGGACATTTGGTGACCCGCATCTCATGTGGTCTCCTTGTCAGTGTATAGTAATTCTTGAACAAAAAAGTGCAAGAGTGCTTCGATCACTTTGTAGCATTATTTTTAATGTGGATCCAGCGCAAATTTTTGTTGAACAGGGAATTTTTTCGAATCATTTTCTTTCATAGTAAACTGTGTCATCCTCGTGAAACTTGCGCGCGCTACAATACTTTCGTTCGGCGCGGGTGGACAATAATATTCTCGGGGATTGAACATGATACACTGGAGTTTTTCTTTATCTCATGCCCTATAACATCACCATAAAGCTTATAAAAAAAAGTACGTATATGCACAAGAGCGCGCCACGGCCGTAACGTAATGTATGCCGCCAGAGCTCAATCGTAAATCTTTCTATCCCCCTTCTGCCTTGTGTACACACGCGGGGCTCCGGGCTTATGTACGGCAATTTTTTTCAACTGCCTATAACTTTTCAGTTTCGCTGGCGCGCGTTCACTCGGCATCGCATTATGCTATTTACGATGACTCGCACGCACGCGAGACTTTACGCAAGTACAGAACCGCGCGACTTCGTGTCTGATTAGCTCGTTCACCGCGAGCTAGTTCGAATTTGGCCAAAGTTGATTTTCGCAACGTTCTCCGCGATTGGCAGCGGTGACAATAATCCGCGCGCAAGCTCGTAAGCTCCACGGTAAAATATACAAATCAAAACGTACACTTATCGTCGCAGTTATACATACACGTACGAATTTCCAATGAGTCCGAGGTTCGGCTCGCGCGTATCGTTGGCTGCCTGGTGTATACGTAATGCAGCAGCTCGTTCGCGCAAGCTCGGGCAAGTGCGAGAGGAAGAGGATTAATTGCATTCATGAATGCTCTATAAATATGCATGCTGGTGCTGCGCTGCTGCTGCTGCTCTCTTCTCGGCGCGCTCTCGAGTTTGTGCGTGTCCGTTTCTCGTTCGGGCTTGTGTGTGTGTAGTACTTTTGCGTTATAACTACTGCCATGGATGTATATAAACGCGCGCGTTCGCCACCGCTACACGTTGTTTCTACGCAGCCCAACGCAAAACTCGTTATCCCGCGCGCGCCCCCCGTAGAAAGTGGATATATACGTGTATATAAACCTACGAGCGGATTAATCGAATACTGTGCGCGCATGCATGTATATAAGCGAGATAGACAAAACGTTGTAGGCGACAGATACGAAAGGCGAACTACACGACGCCGCCGCCGCCCCGACACTAGCACGCGCTCCATGGCTAGAGGCTGCGCCGGATGAGCACTAGTGCGACTTGCAAGATTTCAACTTGCGAATGTTGCCGAGCTGTCTGTGCAGAAACTGACCGGCACAGTGTTATACCGCCCGACGTGGTCCTATTGTCAGCGATGTGTTTGCACTTTTGAACATGTTGGCCATTGCGCCGAACTGGAGATAACAATTTTAAAACGCCACTCGGCAGGTATCGAGCGAGCCGAAATTGCACCGTTCAAAATTCAAGATGAACACGACATCTTTGAGTTGTGCGCGGTAGAATCGTAACGAAAATAAGTTATCGAACGAAATTATTCTAGGATTAAACGGATGAAGCTGCTCTGCGCTATTGGCTAGTGGTACGTGGCAAATAAAAAGAAGCGCGAGCTTCGGCATTTATTTATAGTCCTCGCGCCAGAGCTTACAGCGCGTCCAGAGATATGAATTATTCGAAACGACGAGTTGCAGCGAGCAGCTCGCATGTGCGATGTCTCGCGGCAAGATATAAACTTTATTACAGCTCAACCAAAATAGAAATGACAATTACGTCTATCGAATTTTAGAGCTAGAACGCGAGCGAGCTACGCGGCAGAGACATACACACACATATAGAGCACTGCACATTTACTTACATGTATTATTCAGCGGGCTGTCAGGTTTGATAAAATGAAATTCGCTAATTATTGTTTGCTCTCTCGATCGTGACTTCTATAATTGTATCATTTGTACTCGTCGGGTCGATGAACCTCGCGCAGTCAAGCACGAACACAACAACGATGTTGAAAAATAGCTCATGTTTTGAATCTAATTGAAACGATTTTCTACTTTGTTTTTGTAATTCTGTCGTTTGAGTTGTCAGAAATGAACATCAAACGATAAATATTTATTAAAAATTATTTTTAATCAATAATCATACAGCTAGCAATAATTCCAATCACTGTCGGAAAAACCGTGTGCTGACAGTGTTATTTTATTCCTTTTTTTCTGGTATATGCTTCTTTTAAATACGTACAAATAAAGACACCCGCAGCCCCATGACTTTGTATGAATGCCCGCGCGCAGACATGCCGGAGATTCGGAAACGATCTTTGGTTTTGGCTTGTTTACGATTCGCGCATCATTGCGTTCGCAGTAGGAGCAACAGCAGCAGCAGCCAAGCGACGAATAAAATCCCAATAAAACTCCCATTACGTCAATGTTTATACCAAAAAGTTTGCGCCGAGTGAGCGCGACGCTACTACAAGCTGCAGCCCGAGATTATTCAGTGAATTTAAAAGTACACCGGAGAAGCCGTTCGTTTACAAACGTATATATACAGGCGACACATTGTTCCTTACAAACAAAAAAAAAATTTATATATTTTTCCTCTTTGTCTATACATCCTTTATTGTTTCTGGTGGCACGTGGTTGTATCTAGCGAATATACTTTTACCAAGTTTTTTTCTCTCCAACTCGAGCTTTTTTATTTCATATACGTGAAGATGTTCATCCAGAAATAAAATCCTCACTTATTTTTACTTGCTGAATGATATTTAGAATGCATGAGCTACTGCCGCGCGTTTTACGATATACTGCGCTACTCGCTCGGCTCCGAGCTTTGGTTTTTCTTATATATGACATTCTCGCGCATACTTTAGAGCATATTTTGCATCTGAGCAAGCAAAATAATTTTTTCGCTTTTCAAACGGAAGGAAGCTGCGCACGTCCGACGTGAACGTTGAGATTTTCCGTAAGTACATTTTTAAGGCAGAGCTTACTTTATTAAGGTAAATGAGATTGCTAAATAAACTTACTAATTTGCAAAAAATACGAATTTACGTAGGATACGCCTCTGTTGACATCAGACGTATTAAGAGATTTAATATGAGTTTGCAAATGTAAGTTCACAAGCATCCGAGAAGGATGCAGTTACATTATTACGCTTATTATCCAGCAGTAGAAAAGCAAAGAAATAATTACGCCATAGGACCAGAAAAAGATTGTAGCAAGTGAAACAACATAGGGAATGCTGTACATCGCCTGTGTTGATAAGAATCTAATTCGCCGATAAATATCGTGCAAAGCGCGCGACGGAATTACCCTGAAATGCATGTATGAGAAAGTTAATGTGGCTATAATTTTTCAAGTACTGCATAATATGCAGCGACTGAATTTTTTTATTTTCTTCCGGAAAATGAGTATTTGCATAGTAGACGAACACGAGCAATGTTCGACGCACTTTTGAATTAATTATCTAAAAATTATTGTACTCGTTCGGTTAATTAGTATTTCAAAATTAGATCATACAATTCCATATAATTAGTTCAAAATCGGCTAGTACCCAAACACAGTAATCAACAAGAAGCCAACGCGGTAAAAGTGTCTCGTGATAATGAGCACCCTCGCCGATAGAGCGCTCCAACTGCGCCGCACACTCGAGACTGGTCTGCGTTGTAAGTGCGAAAGCGACCCACTTGATTTAATTAACGGATCTCTGCTCGTTCCCAGCCCGATACCCTTTTTTACTCTCACACTCCCTCTCTTATTTTTGCGTATGCGCCGCCCCGACAGCGATATTTTTGATTTCGATTTAATGACATACGCGCGCTGATTATTACTATCG